AGACACTTGGATTCTCTACCAGGAAACATCAAGGCTGGTTTGAAGAGAAAAACTGTGAGATCCAAGAGTTGATTGACCATAAGCACAAGACCTTTTGTACTTGGCAGAATAATATCAACTCCAATAAAAGAAACTGCATCTCCAACAAACCAAGGCAGAGGTCCAAAGAAGACCCACAATATGAAGAACAGATGGCAGAAAGACGAGGCGAAGGAAATTCAACATCTTGCTGACATCCATGATATGAACAGTTTTTTCAAGGCCACCAAACACATCTACAGTCCAAGCACGCAGGGACCAACCCCCTTGAGATCTAAGGATGGATGAGACCTGATCAAGAAAAGGGGAGCCATCCACACGCATTGGAAAGAGCATGTGTTGAAGACCTTCTCAACTGAGACTGTTGTTGATGAAAGTGTTCTCAACTCCATCCTGCATCATCCAGTCAGAAATCCCTCCAACCCTAGACAGGAAAGCCTGTGAAGAAAGCCATCAAGCAGATGAAAAATGACAAGGCATCTGGAGCTGATGGAATCTTCTATCAAAATCTTCAAGCATGCGGGAGAAGAGCTCACTTCAGAGCTCCATGCCCTCATCTTAAGGATTTGGAATGGTGAAGAAATTCTAGATGACCTCAGGGATGCCATGATCATGACAATCTTCAAAAAAGGAGACAAGTCTGACTGTGGAAATTACAGAGGGATTGCCTTGCTGCCCACCACAGGAACCCCTCCTGAACCGTCTCCTTCCACTGCTGAAGAGCTCCTCCTAGAATCTCAGTGTGGGTTTAGGGCATCAAGAGGCACAGCTGACATGATCTTCACAGCTGACCTGCTGCAGAAAAAGTGCCAGAAGAAACATAAACCTCTCTACCTGGCCTTCTTTGACCTCATGAAAGCATTCAATTCTGTCAACTGAGAAGCACTGGGGAATACTTCTGAAGTATGGATGTCCACTGAAATTTATCACCATTCTTTGCCTGCTCCATGACAGAATCCAAGCCGTGGTTCCCAGTAATGAATCTAATACAGATCTCTTTGAGGTTCAGACGGGAGTTAAGCAAGGCTGCATCACTGCTTCAACACCCTTCTCGATATTCCTTACTGTGATACTACATCCGATTACCAACAAGCTTCCAGTTGGAGTGGAGCTAAAATACTAAATGGATAGTAAACTGTTTAATCTCATGAGTCCGTGTCAAAACCAAGACCATCCTGGCCTCAATAATTGAGCTCACATATGCTGATGATGCTGTAGTCTGTGCTCACTCAGAAACAGATCTTTAGGCAATCTTCAATGTCTTTACTGAGGCATGCAAGAAAATGGGACTTGCACTTAACATTCAGAAGACTAGGGTCCTCCATCAACAAGCTCTTAATGAGTAATCCCCAGTTCTGGTAATTCAGGTTCACAGTGAGACTCTGCAGAACTTCGAGTATTTCCCATAACTTGGAAGCCATCTCTTGCAGAAGGCTGACTTTGACAAAGAAATCCAACATCACCTCAAATATGCAAGTGCAGCTTTCAGATGCCTGAGGAAATTGGTGTTCGAAGATTGCAACATCACATCCAAAACCAAGCTCATGGTTTAACAAACAGTTGCGATCCCCACCTTACTGTAAGAACCTGAGACATGGACAATATACAGGAGACACCTCAAGCTGCTGGAGAAATACCATTAGCACTGCCTACAGAAGACCCTTTGAATCCAGTGGGAAGACAGATGCACCAATATTAATGTACTTTTGCAAGCAAACACCACAAGCATTGAGGAAATGGTCATTCGACATCAACTTCGTTGGGCCAGCCATGTCATCTGGATGTCCAACTCCAGACTCCTGAAGCAAGTTTTATTCTTCCACTTCAGGTCAAGGTGTACACTCAAAAGGAGGGAGAAAAAGTACTTCAAGGACATCCTCAAGGCTAACTTGAAAAAATGCAATATCAACATCAACTCCTGGGAGACTATTGCCCAGGACTGCCCCAAATGGAGGAAGAGTCTACTGTGAGGATCTCGGTACTTTGGAACCTTACAATGACAACAGGAGATGGAAAAGCAGAAGTGGTAAAAACAGCACGTTGCGGACTGAATTAAGAATCCTGAGCCACGCACCCCACACAGAAACATGTGTCTGAGTTGCAGCACAGTCTGTCAATCCCAGATTGGCCTTGTCAGCTATCTTCGAACCCACAGATAAGACATTAATTCAAGACAATCATCCGCAACTGCGAGGGACTGCCAAAGAAGAGAAACAGTTTCAGTTTAACTAAAAATATGCCTTAATATACTGACATTCGGAAATGGCTGAAAGCAATGTAGTGAGTCTTGGGCAAAATTAAGTTTGGTACAGAATATACCTTTTATGCTAGTAATTTTTGTGCCTTTAACACCTGGGTCCTTAACTTAGTTATTTGATTCTGTGAGATCTGTAACAGCAATACTAGTTTAAGGGTTTGATCCTTACAGGGAAGGCTATTTTCCTAAAACAGAACCTGAGAGTAGAGGTGCACGATACATCAGTCCGATACTGGATCGATAGAATCAGTGCCAATAAAGAAAATTGACTACATCAGAAATCGGCTTTTTTTGCTTGATGCGGCTGATACTGTGCCTGATAAATATGCGCAACTGCAGCATGCACAGGGCCAGGAGCGCAGTCTGGCAGCTTGGAGAGCTGTGTCCAGCTGGTAAGTCTGTTGTGGTGAAAGGGGAGGGAAGGGACGTGGGAGGGCAGATCGAGGCCCCTGCAGTGAGGGAGGGAGTGGGGCTGGGGCAGATGCTGCCCAGCCAGGGAGGGGCACGGGATGGTGCTGCGGCTTGTCCATCAGGGGGCATGGGATGGATCTGCAACTTGTCTGGTGTGGGGCAGCTGTTGCTGCGGGCTGGGCCCAGGGGCTGCACCCGGGGTGGGTGACAGCGACACTGGGAAGGGTATACGAGCGCTAGAGGGGCTGCAGCCATCCCAAAATTCGCTTTAGCTCCACCTCCCCACAACTCCCTACCAGCACTGCCAGCCCGCACCCCAAGCACAGTTCGGCCCAGCCCCCACCAGAAAGAGGCCAGCACAGCCCCTAGCCCCAGCCTGCAGCGGCGGCCACCATGCACAGATCTGGGGACACGTGCCCCCCCCCCCCCCCCCAATGCCCCACCCTAGCTGGACAGTGCCTGCCCCAGCCCCTCTCCCTCCTTCACCACAGGGGCCTCAATCTGCTCCCCCTTCCCCCACAACAGATTTACCAGCCAGACACTACTCTTCAAGCTGCTGGGCTGCCTATTAGAAAATTGGATCAGTATTGGCCGATATGCCTCCTTAAAAATTGGCTATCAGTATTGGCCCAAAAAATCTCTATTCGTGCATTCCTACCTGAGAGAGTGGGATTGACTTGCGTGCAGGGTAAATTTATAATCGGAACACAGTAAAATAAGTAAATACACACACTTTTCCTTTAGACCTTGCTTTGATAACATTAAAAATGGAAAAAGAAAAAAATAAGTCTGAAGTGGTTTTTCTTCTACCTGGCCTTAATTATATTGCAAAAAGATAAGATTTAAAAGCAGTTATAGCAAATCCTAAGGTATTTAAAACAGAACTTGTAAGTTTCTTTGGTATTAATTTAAGCAACTTGAACAGTATTGGGTTGGGGTCAAGCCAAAAGATTTTACAAATAAAAGTACTTGCTAGTGCAGAATGAAAGACCCCAAATCTTTTGAAGTCTTCACTGCAAGCTAATGCTTCTCTCCCAGCTTTACTCCACTATGCAGTATCTTTTGACAACCATTCCACTGCAGTCATCACATACATACAGACATTTTCTCTTATTCAATAGTCCATCTCTAATCCCATCTTGGATGCACAAAATCTTTGAGGAAAAAGAGTGTTAAGGTTGCAAAAAAAAAAAAATCAAGCACCCAAAATTTTGGAAATATCAGAATTAAGGTTGCCTTAATTATGTCCTCATTTCTGTATACATTATGATACACAATCACATTTTTTTCTACAGAAAATTTGCTTCATTCAGTGCTGACTTGAGCTTCTGATTTTGACTTTAAGTTCTAGCAATACAGATGTGTGTGTGTGTATAATTTCTTTCTTTTATTTTTAAAAACACACATTAAAAATAAAACCTTCTACATGGATTATCAATACGGATGGAATCTATCTATCACTACCGACTTGAACTAACCAAATATTAGGTACCAGTAGGCAGTCATCCCCTATGTATTTTAGCACTGGAAGGGATGAGACATCAACTTTCCATTGGGTTTTCAATATTTGCTGACATGAGAAATGATGAATTTTAAAACTCTCGGGTTCACACTGTAAAAAGGAAGTTTTTCCTAATTGGCCTTTTCTGCTTTCAGTTTGACCCCTTTCTTTCTACTCCGCCCAATCTCATCTCCGATTCTCCTCTGGCTGCCTCTTCCACCCTCAGTTTCCACTCCTCTGGCTTCTCCTCCTACTCACAAGTCTTTTTGCTAGTGTCTTATCCTAGTTTTTCACATGGGCTCCTTATCCAAGCCATTTCATTCTGCTCTATCCCCAGTGACATCACTGGTTCCTAGTCCTTTCCAGTTCCATTGTAATTCTTCCTCCCACATTTCTCTTACCTGCTTCAGCTCTTTCCACAATTAGTACTGGCCTCATCTCCCTCCAAATTTCCCATCTCCTTGGCTCAACCAGTCCTGGTTGCCTTTCCTAACCTATACCCACTTATTTAAACATTTTTCTCACTAATATATATCTTGAACACTGTAGATAAAAGAGAGGGCTTTAAAATCCAATAACTATTTGTTTGGGTATTAAACATTTTTTTCAAAACTTTTGACAAAGGTGTATTAACACATCAAATGATGACAACCTGTCGGGTGACTGCACCTACTGCCTTTAGACTGCAAAGCATATACAAAATCATTGTATCTTCATGCACTGTAGATGTGGCATTTCTATTTTACTTCTGGATAGATTAAATGTAGATAATGTTGTAAGACTTTTCTTTACCTGTAGTTACTTGATAGTGTGTAGTCTTCTGAAATTAAAAACAGAAAGCAGAGTCAGAAGTTAGAACTGCAAGTTATTTTGACTAAACCACTTACTTATTTCAATGCTGTAAGGCACCTATCTCCTTCAATTCTCCATGGCTATGGATGAGATTTATGTTGTTATTTTAATCTACAAGGCAATGACTATACTGGCATCATCTTGTTTCCACCTTGTTTACTCAAGCCTTGGTACTGTTGTGGTAAATCAGCAAACACAAGCTATAACGTAACTTTGTATCTATCCAGTTAATGACAATACTCTCCTTAGGGATGCTCTAGAGCAGGGGCGGGCAATTATTTCAGGTGGAGGGCGGCTTAATGAGATATAGTGAGCTGTCGAGGGCCACATGGGTAGCCCCACCCTTTGAAGGTTGCTCCACCCCTGGTCGCCATCTTCCCTGACCTTTGCCACCGGAAGTCCCTCCCCTTGCCTCCCAGTAATACTCCTTTGGGGGGGAGGGGAGTTGCCATATTAGAACCAGAAAAAAACAAATCATACACTAAGAGTCAAACACCTACTATAACATATTCTAATTTTATTACAAAAAATATTTGTCATGATTTGTGTTTGTGTACTGTATATAGAGGCGATTGCATAATAACTTAAAAATGAAATTTTAGTCATATATTGTGTAAGGGGGTATGGCTGGGTGGGTGTGTAGTAGGCTGTGGGAGTAATTTGTGAGGTAGTGTAACTGTGTGTGGCAGGCATAGGGTATGTTTGAGGATTGTGGTGTTTATTGGGTGTGGGTATGTGGCTCTGGAACACTGTCCTCTCTTGCAGTCAATGCAGGCAACACTGTGTGCGATTTGTGGGGTGGGAGGGGTGTGGGGACCACCCCATACACTTTCCCCATGGTGCAGCAGCAGGTAGGGGTGCTGGTGCCTGGCTCCAGCTGGAGCTGCACATTGCAGCAAGGAGCACAGCCCTCTGCCAGGCCATCTGTGTTGCCAGTGCTCCCTGCATTCATGCAGCACAAGAGGGAAACCCCAGGCGCTGGAGCCAGCTGTCTTCCCCACCCCAACTGGCTTGTGCCTGGGGCTTCCCTACTGTGCCACATAAGTACGGGGAGCGCCCGTGATACAGATGACTTGGCAGGGGCTGAGCTCCTCGCCACAATGTGCAGTGCTGGCTGGAGCCAGACACCAGTGCCAAGCACTGCCCCCGCTGCCTGCCAGGGCTGCATGCCATGTGGGGGGGAGCGTAGAAGGGATCCCCATACCCCCCACCCTCCCTTATACGCACACCCTGCCCAGCGACCTCCGCACTGCCACCAGCCCCAGTCCCACACTCCGTACCCCTGCCCAGCTGCAGCTCTGCCCCGCCTTCCCTACCTACTGCCTTGAGGGAACGGGACGCTGGGGAAGCCTGCAGCAGCAACCCCACCAAGCGCTAGCAAGGCTGGCTCTTCCACCCATGAGTCGGAGCAAGACACAATACGGCATGTTGGGGGCAGATGTAGGCGCCTCACTCCCACCCTCACAGGCAGAAGAGCTGGATGAAAGTGCTTGAAGGGGTGAATCTGGCATGTGGGTCACATTTTGCTTGCCCCTGCTCTAGAATAAGGTTAGTCTAACCCATCATCCTGCCAAGTTCAAAACAGTACTTATTTGTTGACCTTCAAGGCCACACGGCCCAGTTTTTTGAAAGAGCATCTAGGGGAAACCTGAAACTGGAGGGCATCTATACACATGCTGGTTCACCTTCTAATAAGAATGTGTCAGAGCAGACTTGATTAATCAAATCTGTTCCACATCCCAATTAGAACACTTCAGCGTAGTCTCATCATCACGTGCATAAGACCCCATGAGTTTAAACATGGCCGCTGGGGCACTTTACCTAAACCTTGTTGAATGAAATTTAGATAAAGCATCCCACAGCCATCTTTAAACCTGTGGGGGCTTAATACATGTGACAGTGAGGTGTTTTAATTACTCTCTGGGAACCACTCTAATTGAAAGCACCCCCTCCACCCAACACCAAGGATGTGTATAGGCAGCAGGGATTTCTTACAATTATTGATAAGCTTTAAGACTAAGAATCAGCTTAGCATGTTTTTGCTGTGAGTGCTTTTGGGGCAGGACTGTAAAGAACACATGCCACCATTTTTAATGATGTCGATATTTTATGTTTGTAGATGCTGGATTTAGATGTTAGTGCCCAAGACGGGCTGTTTGAGGGTGTTTATTTCAACTACAATGAATGCTGGTATGCGATTTGTACACCAAGTATATTACATATTCAATTTTGATAGCAACTGATAAATACTTGATATGTTAACACAGGGGTGGACAATTATTTTGGCTGAAAGGCCCTTTAACAAGTTTTCGTGAGCTTTCGAGGGCTACACATGTAAAATCTTGCAGAAGATATCATTTTAACAAATTATAGATAAAAAACAAATCATATACTAGAAATCAAACATCTACTGTAATATATTTTAATTTTATTAAAAAAATTCCCCCCTGATTTGGTCTTTTGAATAGTGTATATAGAGGTGATTGCATAATAGCTCAATATGGTCTTACTATTGTAAAATGTGTGTGTGAGGGTGGGGAGGGGGGCCTGCACGTGTGGAAGGCTGCCTGCACGCTAAGTCTAGGGAATCGACGGTGAGGGGGCAGGGGGCAGATGCAGCAGAGCTTGCCTGGGTGGTGCATGTACCTGTATGATCCACCCCACATCCCATCCAGCCTGCTGCTGCCCCCACAGCACCCACATGGGGCCAAGCCCCACCCACTCCCACCTAGGCACTGTGTTTCCATCTGCATCGATCCAGCCCCAGCAAGCATGCACAACTTTCCCGGGGGTTGCTCCTGGTGTGGCTGCAGCTACCCAGGAACTGCTTGGCTCTCCCAGCCTCCAGCAGCTCCTCCTCCTCTTCCTCCTGTCCTTGCTGTGCTGCTCTGGGCAGGGGGGTAGGGAGCTACAGCTGGGCAGTCCCTGCCCCAGCATACAGGGCTCCAGCTCCTGGCTGCCTTCCAACAACTCAGCAGCCCACAGGTGGCTGGTCATTGTGCCAGGTGGCCGGAGTGAAAGGCAGCTAAAAGCTGGAACTAGAGTCCCACACACTGGGGTAGGAGCCATCTGGCTGCAACTGTTGGCTTGCCCCCCTGCCCCTGCCCCCGAAGCAGTGCAGCAAGGGCAGGAGAAGGAAATGCTGGAGGCAGGGGGAGCAGAGCAGTACCCAGGCAGTTGCACTAGAAGCAACCCCACCAGGAAGCTGTGAACGCTGGCTAGGACTGGGAGTGTCCAGTGGCTGTGGGCTGCCCCAGGTGGGGCTTATCCCCATGCAGAGTGCTGTGGGGGCAGCTACAGGCTAGATCCACTTAATTGACGAGCACCCACCCATGAGCCAGATGCAGTCAATTGGCTGGCTTTATCTGGCCGTGGGCCATACTTTGTCCACCCCTATGTTTACATGATTATTTATACGCGACAAGGAAAAATTGTTCATTCCCAACCTTAAACATATTCAGTGCCAGCATGCACACCAGCAACCTTGTGTAAAACAAAGGTGACAAACATGAGGCCCACAGGCCATATCCATGTTATCAGGCCCACAGCCCCATGGGTCATTGCAGCAACCCAATGTACTGGCCCTGGCCCTACGTTGCATGGGGCACCACAGGCTGCACCCAGTGCCATGCATCCTGCATGCAGCACAGGGGATCAATGCAGGGCATGCAATGTATGCTGCCAGACTAGAACAGCATGATGGCTCCTGGGATGACCTAGATTGGGTTGTGCCATAATCAGAGACAAGGCAGCACCTGTGTGGCACTGCTTATAGTGTGTGCCCCTTAAAGGCCTCCTGTGTTGCATGGAGGGCGCGGTCCAGCTCTGTGTGCAGCACAGGGGCTGGTTATGTATGCACCACAGGGGGCCGGCACAGAGCTCACAGGCTGGACCTGGCAGTGCGTGTGGCACGAGTGGTCTAGCTCCCAGGTTATATGCACGGGGGGGTCAGTCCTGGTCCAGCCCACAGATCAGCCAGCTTCTCTCATCCAAGCCTAGAAGGCCAGATGAGTTCAACACCCTTGCAGTAAAAAAAGTACTACAAAAGAAATGTTCATCTGGAACACTTAAATGCTCAGAGGGAAAAGAACAAATAACATGCCCACAACCCTAATGATGGAGAAAGTCATCTCAATTTGACACACTGCCACTGCAAAACTATTTTCGCCTTTTCACTTTGTTTTGCCCCGGGAGCCATGCACTGGCCGTGCTGTGTCCCCTGCACATCTGGCAGCAAAAGGCACAACTTGTTGCCCCCACCGTCGCCAGGCGGGCAGGGGATGTACGGCTGGCGCAGGGCTCCTGTGAAAAAAAAAGGCAGCAGGGCGGAGAGCCCTGAGCACACAGCAGGCAGCCTGCCTCCACGAACAAATCTAGGGGGGCACAAGCTCCCCCACGGGTGCCACCGCACAGTGGTGGGGAGCCAAACCCTGCTCCCCGCTACGTCCCATGGATGAACCGGCTGTGCTTCTATCTCGCTCTCTGCCCTGGCCCTGGGGTACCATTCCCTGCCCTGGCTGGGCCACACCCTAACCCAACCCCTGCCCCACGCCCTCCCTCACCATAAGGGTCTGGATCTGCCCCGCCTATGGCCCCTTCCCTCCCCCCTGCCCGTGTACAGACTTACCTGAATGGCACTGCTCTCCATACTGCCTGGCTGTGCTTCTGCCCGTGTGCATGCTGTGGCCGTACGCATGCACACAGTGTCCAGAAGCCCCAGCCAGAAGGCATTTTTATTGGTACGTTATCGGCTACACTGGCCAAAAAAGGCAATAGCCAATAATGTTAATTTTCCTTTTATCAGTGCCAATACAATATGGCGCTGAAAGGGGAAAGGGCCACTCTAGTGCCCATCTTTAAGAAAGGGAAGGAGGAAGTTTCAAGGAATTACAGTCCAGTCATTCTGACCTCGATACCAAGAAAGATCACGGACCAGGTCCTCCTGGAACCTATTTTGAAGCACCTAGAGGAGGACAAGGAGATCAGGAACTGGCACTGTGGATTCACCAAGAACAAGTCATTCCTGACCAACCTGATTCTTTCTGGGGGAAGAGCTGGGGATGTGATCATCTTGCTTTTTACATTGTATTCCATGACATTCTTGTTAGCCAGGTAAGGAAATACAGACTGAATGAAAGTACTGTAAGGTGGATACATAACTGGTTCGATTGTCATGTTCATCACAGGCTCAATGTATCATTAATGGCTCAATGTCTAGCTGGTATGAGGTATCAAGTGGGGTTCTCCAGGAGTCCTGCCTGGGTCCAGTATTGTTCAACTTCTTCATTAATGATATGGACAATGGGACTAAGTGCATGCTTTGCAAATTTGTAGATGACACCAAATTTGGGCGGAGTTGCAGACACTCTGGAGGGTAGGGCTAGGATATAGAGCGACCTGAATAGACAGGAAAAATGGTCCAAAATCAGATGAAATTCAACAAGAAATGCAAAATCCTGAAATTGGGATGGAATAATTGAATATACAAATACAGACTGAGGAATAACTGGCTAGGCTGCAGCAGCAATGCAGAGAAAGACCTGGAGGGCTACAGTGCACCAAAAGCTATATATGCACCAAGAGCATACTCTTGTTATAAGTAAGGCCAGTGGCATACTAGGATGAATGAAAAGAAGTGCTACCTGTAAATGAAAAGAAATGATTCTTCCACTCTTATTCAGCATTAGAGAGACCTAACCTGGAGCATTATGTTCACTTTTGGGGCCTACACTTCAAGGATTAAAAAGGTCTAGAGCAGATTAAAAAGGTCTAGAGCAGAGCCTGTGAAGAATCGTTTTTGAAAGACAGGTTGAAAGAGCTAGGGTTATTGTCTGGAGAAGAGAAGACTGAGGGGAGACTTGATAACAGCCTTCAAATACCTGAATGACAATTATAGACAGGTAAAGATGGGCTTTTTCTGTGGCCATAGGAAACAGGACTAGTAGCATTGGCCTCAGCTTGCAACAGAGAAAATTTAGGCTGGATATCGGGAAGAACTCTTTGACTTTGAGGTTGGCCAAGCTTTGGAACAGGGTACCTAAAAAATTGATGGGATCTCCATCCTTAGAAGTTTTCAAGAGCAGGTTAGACCCAAACTTGGCTGGAATGGTTTTAGTCTGGGATAATCCTGCCTTGAGTAGGGAGCTGCACTAGATAACCCAGGGGTAGGCAAAATAGCAGATCTGGCCAATGGCTGGACTCCATTTCCCAGCAGACTCTGCCCACATTGCTGCAGCTGGCTTCCATGGAGACCCCAGTAGTGGGGTCTCCAGGGAAATAAGCTGCAGCAATGTGGGCAGGGGCTGCTGGGAAATGGAATCTGTCATGGGCCCAATCTAGTGCATGGGCTAGGCTTTGCCCCCTCCCCAAGATAACCTCATGAGGACCCTTTCACTCCTACTTTCTTCTATTCCAATACATATCCTGTGTGGATATGCATATGTACACATACACAAGCCAATATCCCAATGATGTCCAAAATTATCATTAACTCCTGCCCCATACCTTCTCTCCTGCTCCCATATTTTCCAAAACGCTAGCCATGGTATATGATGAACAGAAAACAAAAAAACAAAAACACACCTCTCATTTCAAAGTATCTAATTACTCCAGAAGCCAAAAAAACCCATTTATTTAGGAAATAGTTCTCCAATTAATAGTGACCTAAATCTTCCACATTTGTGGAAATAACAAGATTAGAATACGATGATTCATAACATACAGTCACAAGTAAACTGATACCTTGAGTAATTTTCTCCTCCTTTTCAGGTAATTTTGTGATATGTCCTCCCAACTCCTCGGTCCTAGAAATATTTAAGGAAAAGTTAATAGATATGATATATTCCTAACAGTGTCATTCCATGTTAGATACCTTCCCTACTCATTAAATGTTTAGGGAGAATTGATAGCCGGGAAATGAACTACACACTCTAGAGGACAATTAAGCTTTGTGTTAGCCAGCAACCGCTCGCCCCCAGATCTAGGGGAATGGATGTAGGCCAGGGTGGGCAATTATTTTGGGCGGAGGGCTGCTTACTGAGTTTTGCCATGGTGCCAAGGGACGCAAGGGTAGCCCTGCCCCTTGACAGGTGCCCTGTCCCCCAGTTGTCATCTTTTGACCAGAAGTCCTGCCCCCTAACCCTGACCTTTGCCACAAGAAGTCCCTTCCCTTGCCCCCCAGAAGTACTCCTTTCAGCAAGAGGTTTTGCCATCTCCGAACCAGAAAAATACCAAATTATATTCTAAAAAGCGAACATCTACAACATTAATTAAATTTGATTTCAAAAAATATTTTTATCCTGATTTACATGCATTTGTGTAGTGTACAGAGGTGATTGCATAATAGCTTAAAATGAAGTCTTACTCTTGTATATTCATAGTATCATAGTAGCTAGGGTCAGGAGGGACCTGAACAGATCATCTAGCCTGAGTGAGGGACCTAGCAGATCCATCTCTCTGGACCCGCTGCCACAGGCAGGAATGAATGCTGGGTTCACAAGACCCCAGACAGGTGATCGTCCAACCTCCTCTTGAATTTGCCCAAGGTACGGGTGAGACCCACTTCCCTGGGAAGCTGGTTCCAGATTTTGGCCACCCTAACTGTAAAATATTGCCTTCTGATCTCCAACTTAAACCTATTCTCCATCAGTTTATCATCACTGTTCCTCATCACCCCAGGTGGTGCTGGGGAGAAAAGGGCTCTACCTATTTGTTGTTGATCTCCCCTGATGAGTTTGTAGGCAGCTACCAGGTCCCCCCTCAGCCTCCTCTTGCTGAGGCTGAACAGGTTCAGACTATTGCGGGGGGGGCATGGGAGGGATGGGTATAGGTTTGTAGGGGGCGCATAGGATTGGGGGTGGAGTGAGGGAGCACATGGGTGTATGTGTGGATATGTGGGAGGGTATGGGGGTCTGCATGTATGGTAGTACAAGGGGAGGTATGGGTGCAGGACTCACCCTATGAACACACACACACACACACACACACACAGTCCCTTTCCAAAATCCAAAAAACACCAAACACATCTATGGTGTTGGTTTTACTTTCAAGATCAGGATTGTTACTCAAATGCCAGAGCATCCAGATAGCATCAACATGCATCTAAAGACCCTTTAAACTGAACAACAGACAACATGCAACAGCTAACAGTGCATATGCCCTGACCCGATACAGATAAAAACAAAAACAAAAGAAGAATTATATTTCTAAACTTGACCAAAACCTGTCATCTGTCCCCAAATAAGATAATATAATTCTTCTTATCATTTCAATGTTAGTTTGGGCCAGGACTAAGACATATGGAAAGGAACTCTTAGAAAGTGTTCCTTTTGTCTCAGGAAGTCTGCTGCTTGCCCAGAACCCAGATCCAAGATTTCATGGAGGTATTACGGAGACTCAACAGGCCCTCTGAGAACTACCCCATGCTACTCATCCATGTGGGCACTAATGATACTGCCAGGGGAGACCCTGAGCACATCAAAAGTAACTACAGGGCACTCGGTGCAAGGGTGGCAGGTACGGGCGCTCAGGTGGTGTTCTCTTCAATCCTTCCAGTCAAGGGAAAGCTCCAGTATGAAACTGAATATAGGCCTATTGGAAGTCTCTGGGTTAGGGACAGAGGGGAGAGCAACAAGATGCTGTGGAGGGGGATCTGCTATAGACCACCAGACCAAGAGGAAGTGGTGGATGAGGCTTTCTTCAAACAGAAGTTTCCCAGTCACAGGACCTGACTCTCATGGTGGACTTCAATCACTCTGACATACAGCAGTGAAATGGCAATCCAGGAAAGTTTTGGAGAGTACTGGGGACACCTTCCTGGTACAAGTGCTGGAGCGGCCAACTAGGGGGCATGCTCTTCATGACCTACTGCCCACAGGCAGGGAAGAATTTGCGGGGAATGTAGAAGTGGATGGCAACTTGGGCAGCAGTGACCATGAGATGATTGAGTTCAGGATCCTGACAAAAGGAAGAAAAGAGAGCAGCAGAGTGAGGACCCTTGACTTCAGAAAAGCAGAAGTCAAAGCTGACTGCATTTTAAAGAAGCCTTATTGAGAGTGCAGGAACAAATCATCCCGACATGCAGAAAAACTAGGAAGTATGGCAGAAGACCAGCTTGGCTTAGCAGGGAACTATTCAGTGAGCTGAATCACAAAAAGGAAACTTCTAAGAAGTGGAAACTTGGACAAACAACTAGGGAGGAGTATAACAGAACTGCTCGGACAGCCAGGGATGAAGTCAGGAATTCCAAAGTGCAATTGGAGTTGCAGCTAGCAAGTGATGTGAAGGGTAACAAAAAGGGCATATGCACTGTTAGCTGTTGCATGTTGTCTGTTGTTCAGTTTAAAGGGTCTTTAGATGCATGTTGATGCTATCTGGACGCTCTTGGTAGCAAGAGAAGGATCAGGGAAAGTGTATACCCCTTACTGAATGGGGGAGGCAACCTAGTGACAAAGGACACAGAAAACGCTTAAATGCTCAGTGCCTTTTTTACCTCAGTCTTCACCTGCTGAGGGAGCTGGCTGGCTGACATGATTGCAGAGCCGCTGGCCATCATCTTTGAAAACTCATGGTGATTGAGTGGTCCTGGATGATTGGAAAAGGGCAAGCATAGTGCCCATGTTTAAGGAAGGGGAAAAAGGAGGATTGAGGGAACTACAGACCAGTCAGCTTCACCTCAGTCCCTGGAAAAATCATGGAGCAGATCCTCAAGGAATCCATTACTAAACACTTGAAGGAGAAGGTGATTAGAAACAGTCAGCATGGAGTCACTAAGGGCAAGTCATGTTGACCAACCTGATTATCTTCTATGACGAGAAGACGGGTTCTGTGGATGCGAGGAGACAAGTGGATGTGGTGTGCCTTGATTTTAGCAAGGCTTTTGGTACGGTCTCCCACAACATTCTCGCAGGCAAGCTAAGGAAGTATGGGTTGGATGAATGGACTGTAAGGTGGACAGAAAACTTGCTGGAGCATTGGTCTCAGAGGGTAGTAATTAATGGCTTGATGTCTAGTTGGCAGCCAGTATCAAGTGGAGTGCCCCAGAGGTCGGTCCCGGGGCTGGTTTAGTTCAATGTCTTCATCAATGATCTGGAAGATGGCATAGAGTACACCCTCAGCAAGTCTGCAGATGATACGAAGCTGGGGGGAGTAGTTGATATGCTGGAGGGTAGAGCTAGGATTCAGAGTGACCTAGACAAATTGGAGCATTGGGCTAAAAGGAATCTCATGAGGTTTAACAAGGACAAGTGCGAAGTCCTGCACTTAGGATGGAACAATCCCATGCACCAGTACAGGCTGGGGAGCAACCAGTTGAGCAGCAGCTCTGCAAAAAAGGAACTGGGGGTTATAGTGGACAATAAGCTGAATGAACCAACAGTGCACCCTTATTCCCAAAAAGGCTAACACTGTACTGGGCTGCACTGGTAGGAGTGTTGCCAGCAGGGCAAGGGAAGTGATTACTCCCCTCTATTCAGCACTAGTGAGGCCACATCTGGAGTACTGTGTTCAGTTTTGGGTCCCCTACTACAGAAAGGATGTGGACAAATTGGAGAGAGTCCAGCGGAGGGCAATTGAAGTGGTGAAGGGGCTAGGGCACATGACTTATGAGGAGAGGCTGAAGGAACTGGGCGTATTTAGTCTAGAGAAAAGAAGATTGAGAGGGGTTTCAATTGCAACCTTTAAACTACCTAAAGAGAGGTTCGAAAGAGGATGGACCTAGACTGTTCTCATTTGTGGCAGATGACAGAACAAGGAACAATGGCCTTAAGTTGGAGCAAGTGAACTTTAGGTTAGCTATTAGGAAGAATTTTCTCACTGGGGGGTAGTAAAGAACTGGAACAGGTTACCCAGGGAGGTGATGGAATCTTCATCCTTGGAAGTTTTTAAGATCCGGCTAGACAAACCCTTGGCTGGGATGATCTAGTTGGGGCTGGTCCTGCTTTGAGCAGGGGGTTGGACTAGATGACCTCCTGAGGTCCCTTCCAACTATAATTTTCTATGATTCTGTGAAAAGAAGGTATGAGGAAAGGTAATTCAAGTGGACTTCTTCTCTTGAGCAAGTGTTTGGAACATGATCTCATCAACCACAAACTCCTTATTCTATCAAAGCAACTAATGGAAGACATCATGGATGCACTCCTACTCAAAATACTGGTACTTGACTGACTATGTCATAATGCACAGGGCCATCAAAAAGTCCATATCACCAGAGCTACGACCACAGTAAATGACTGGCTGGTCTATCATGGCCTATTATGTCCATTCATATTGCCCTAAAACAAGCTAAACAAAGGAAACAGCTAAGAAAAAGGTTCAATATCAAGTGCTTGAATGATCCTGCTAAAGCCGTTCATCTTCAGTGGTGCCTCAGTGAGAAATTTTTTGGCCTCTCAGATGATTTTGACACCACTGATGACCGGGAGAGCCTCAAGAAAGGTATCCGTGAGGCAAGTAAAGAATCTCTAGGATTATCCAAAAAGAAACATTAGATAGGGAAATTCAAGCTCTCATTAACACAAAAGGAGGGCTTTGCATCACTTCTAAACAGAATCCAGACACTTACCACAACATTAAAGCTGAGACTCAGAGAAAAATTTGAGAGCAAAAGGACAAGTAGTAGGAAGACAAAGCAAAAGACAAGCAAAAATTATAATATGCATAGTTTCTTCAGCATAACCAAAGCTATCTATGGGTCAAGCATGCAAGGAGCCACTCCTCTGATGTCCAAGGATGGAACAACATTCTTTTAAGACAGAGCCACCATCAATACATGGTGGAGGGAGCACTTCCAAGAGATCCTGTACTAATATTTTAATATTGAAGACAATACCATGGAAGCCACTCCACAACGATATGCTACCATGCAGATCCATCAACTTATCAAGAGGCATCGAAAGCCATTAAGCAGATGAAGAACAAGAAAGCATATGATCCTCACAGAATACCAGGTGAAATTTATTAGCAAGGTAGAAAAGAAAAAAAAAAGCTCCCTAAAAAACTACACATCATTATTGTGAAAATCTAGAAACATGAACAGATTCTCTGAAACTTGAGAGATACTAGAATCATTTCCAAATTCAAGAAAGAAGATGGATTGGATTGCTGAACTATCATGGTGCACTTCTGTCCACAGCTCAGAAGAATCTCATCTCCATTTGCCTCAGTAGACTCACTTTCCTCACCAAGGAGGTTCTATTCAAGTCCAATGAGGTTTCAAGATGATCCAGAGCTAAAATAGGTATGATCTTGTTGCTAGACAGCTGCAAAAGTGCTGTGAGCAACATCAAATCTTTACATGGCCTTCATTCACCTGACAACGGCCTTTTATTCAATCAGTAGAGAGGCTCTATGGAAGATCCTGATGAGACTTGGGTGCTTTCCTAAATTTGTTACCATCCTCAGACTTCCTCACAACAACATAACAGCAACAGTCTTGAACAATGGCTCAGAAACAGGTCCCTTCACTATTAGAACTGGAGTCAAGAAAGATTAACATCAACCAGTCACATTCAACATCCAAGATAACCAACCTCTCCATTATTGATCTTCAATATGCTGATGACTACGTCATGTATGGCCACTCTATTGGAGAGCTCCAGGTCACTTTTGATTGTTTCTAGAGAAGCACCGATACATCGGTCTGATATCCGATACAGATAATTTTCTTTATATCGGTACCAATTTGACATCGGCCTGATGGTGCCAATAATTTGGCCAATAAATGCCTGTGCTGCCTCCAGCTGGTAAGTCGGAAGGGGAGGGAGGAAGAAAGTGGCGCAGGGCTGGGAGCAGAGCTGCAGAGAAATTTGGGGTGGCTGCAGCCTCCTCCCAGTGTCGCCTGAGCCCAATCTGAGCCCAGTCCCTGGCAAGACAAGCCCCGCCTGGCTCCGGCTCCATCCCGCAGCTGCAGCCCACCCGCACTACATGGATCCAGGGGCACACACCCCTGGGCCTTGGCATTCCCAGGGTGCAAGCAGCGGCAGGAGCTGCGTCCACCCTACAAGCTGTGCCTCCATCCTATGCCCCCCCGCCACCCTGGCTGGGCAGCTCCTGACCCCTCCCTCACCGCGGGGGACATTGATCTGCCCCTGATGCCACTCCCCTTCCACCACACTGGACTTAACAGCTGGAGGAACTATCTCGGAAATTAGATTGGTATCAGCCAACATTCCTCCTTTAAATAATGGTTATTAGTATCAGCCCCCAAAATCTCTATTGGTACACCCCTAATTGCTTCTGTGAAACATATGAAATGCTTGGACTCACTGTCAACTTCATAAAAACCTAAATCCTTTACTATGCCACCCCAGATCTGCCAGCTGCTCTTCTACATATTACAATTAGAGGGCAATCCTTGGAGAATGTTGAGCATTTCCCCAACTGGGCAGCCACCTTTCCCAAAAAATAAACATACACAATGATATTCAACACCAAATCAAATCTGCCAGCACTGCCTTTGATGAACATGACATCAGGACCTAAACCAAGCTTCTCATCTACCAAGCGGTTGTCATCCCTATCCTGTTGTATGGGTGTGAAATTTGGATGACATATCAGAAACACCTGAAATCTTTGGAACATTACCATCAGCAATGTCTTTGGAAAATCCTCCACATCAACTGGAAGAACAGAAGAACAAAAGCACCAGCTCCTTTGGACAGGATATAGCCTAAGGATGCCTGACATCCAGCTCGCAAATAGGTCCTATATATTCCCAATTTACCAAGAGTCATCATTCTGGGGGTAGGCAAAAGAAAAATTCAAGAACACCTTGAAGGCTGATTCAAAGAAATACGCTATTTGGGAGACTCGAGGATTGAATCGTCCCCAACGGCACCATGATGCATGTATGATAAGGCACTGATCATTTTGAGCAAACTCTTCTCATTATGGAGTTGGATACGTGAGAGAGCCAAAAGGGAAAGAACTATAATGCAACATCACTGGGATCTATTTGCCACGTTTGCAGTCGAACATGGGGATGTCAAATCAGCCTCCTCAGTCATCTACAGACTCACTAATAACTTCCCAATTTACTGGAAGATTGAGAACTTCATATCAAGGGACAAGGCCAACAACAATAGTTTAGAAAATATGTGAGAAGAAAGGGTCTTTTTGGTGGTGTCATTAATTAAACTGACACAGTTGGGAGAGATGTCAGATAAGCTTTTTGCAGCTCACTGTAAAGAGCTGACAATTTCCAAGGGATGCCTCAAGTCCAAAAAGGTTGAGAACCACTGGTTTTATCTTTGATACTCCCTTCCCTTCATTTTCCTCTCTCACTTCTTTTCCTTCTTCTTTCATATTATGTGGTTTGTTTCTTACACATCCTTAAAGTATTAACTACTTTTAATCTGAAACCCCAAGAATACACTGCTTTTTTGTCTAACAAACAAACAAACCAACTACACATCTCAAACCAAAAATATCAGTTCCTTTTACCTTACACTCATTGCTACATAGACAGATTCACAAATCCAAAGATTTTTCTCATGTTGGAGTGATGTAACCACGATGGTCCAGGAAAAATGCAAGAGGCAAGGATTTGTTGCAGCTTGTGTCTTTTATCTGACTAACGGTACATAGTTGAGGAAAGTTACTATACAGGCAGCCAAAAGCTTGTCCCTTTCTCTCCCAACTGTATATGGGTTCAATCAAAGATATAACCCACAAAAATCCTTGCGTCTCGATGATTTATAATTTTATATGTGAAGGTTACATACTTCAATGGGTAAACTTCAGAAAATGCTGCAATTTTTGCAGGCCATGGTGGACAGTCTTCATATACACATTGTATACCCCTATTTTGTAAGTTTTCATCCTTTAGCAGGTCTAAAATACAATAAATATGTAAAAGTTAAAATTCTTACCATCAGGTGTATTGCAAGATAGTGTTTGCATAGAGACAAGTACATCATCTTCAAAGGGATAACTGTACTGTATATATAAAAAAAAAAACAACAACCAAACATTTTTAAAAATAAGAACAGATGTATTAAATATAACAGTAAAGCTCTTAAATACATTTGAAGATTATTTTCAAAACCTGAACCCCATATCAGTTTGATTTAGACTGAACCCTATGAAAACTGGCATGCGTGTGCTGTTTCATTAGCAGCACTTTAAATAATTTTCACTATTACATGAGCTAACCAACGTTTTTTGAAGCAGGAATATAAACCTTTCCCTTTCAGGGTATCAATTACAAATCAACTCCCGTGATGGACATGACATTTCAGAGTTGCCTCTTTGACAGGCTATCTCCCACCTTCCTCTAGCAATTTGTACTGGCCTCTGTCTGGGAATTGGATTAGACAAGCTACTGTTTGATCCCACATGCAAGTCAAAGAGGTCTAGCAGTCTTAAGAGAAAATAATTATCTCCACAACGGCCTGAAAAAAAAATCAGACGTTGATTTTTTCTCTGAGTACAGTATAGATTAAAAAGTGTGGGAAACACAAATTTTTATCTCCTCTTCATTACTAACTGCGTCTCGACAAAGAGGAAGGTGGAACAACTTGCCTGTTGCTACAAAGTTATGTCTGTAAAATAACCCTGAAGAGAGAAGATTACAGTTTCCCTATAATGAGCTTCCTACACACAGATTCTGGCACCTCGAGTAATTCAGTGGGATCAGCAAGTCTTTAGAAACGTTGGAAAATGTTTCCAACACATTCAGTAGCATGGGTAGGTGCTTAGAAACGTTGGGCAAATGCAGCTACTTCAAGCGGTTAACCAGAGATTTGGGAGTTTCACTTCCTGCATATTTACATCCTCACATTATCTGGGCCTTTGAAAAAAACGTTTTTGAAGAACGGGGGAAAAAATGTCAGGCTATCACCATCAACGCTACTTTCAAGGCAGGGGTCAGGCACGTGGGGAGCCCCAAGCAGGCCCTGGCAGGCTGCCCCTCCCGCTATCACTACCCTTCCCTACTGTGACGACATCAGGCGCGCGCGGGGCCCCCTTCCCCCGCACAGGTCGCTCTGGAGTGATGCAGCCCCCGTCCAACGGCCGCGCCGGTTCCTCACCTTCGTGACGATCCCGTTTAAGGCGTCAGCGAAGCGCGCGCCGCTACGGTGCAGCCGCTCCCCCAGGTCGTCCATTGGGCCGGGGCGAGCGCCCACCTGCGCCTATGGGCCACTTCCGCCCCCTCCCCGCCTACCGGTGCGTAATGGTTGCTCCCAGCCCAGCTCCTGCCCCTGCACTTTCCGGATATTAATTTGAACTGCGCGCCCAGTCCCGCCCACGCTGACGGATCCCAGATCCGATTGGAGGAGATGCGCCTCACTCTGTGCGCAGCAGCCAATCAGCGTGCGCAGAGCGAACGCTGCCAGCTACGATTGGCTACGTGTCATCTTTTTTTTTCTTCCCCCTCTGCAGAGCCCTCTAGTTGGCGGCGGAACTCGGGAGAAAGGAGAGGGAGGGCGGGACTAGGACGCAAACCCTCCTTCCCTGTTCTGCTTAGCAACGGCGGCTGTCTGTAAGCTCCTATTGGAGGCAGGATGCGGACGGTCTCCTATTGATTACTGCAGGGTTTGGAACGCGGAGGCGCTTGAAGGGGAGGTGGGGGTGGACCTGACTGGCTCCCGTCATTGCACCGCTCCGTGCAGCTCCGGTGCCTGGGCTCCACGGCATCCGCGTGGGCAGGGAGCCTGGTTCTCGTTGATTAACCCCCCCCCAATTTTCGGGTTAAAAAAAGTAACCCAAAGTGCACATTTTTCAGTGGTTAAAATAAAACACTGCTAACATATAGATAGATATATATCTAAATAGATATATATGTAATATATAGGTAGGTATCTATAGATATGTCTATCTATATATTAGTCAAAAAATAACCCAAAATCCATTTTCCTGTTAGATAGATAGATAATGGATTTTGGGTTTTATATATATATAAAATGGATTTTGGGTTACTTTTTTTAATTGGGTCACACACACACACACACACACACACACACGTCAAATGGATCCAAATGAAACACCACTAATATATAGCTAGATATCTCTTTCTCTCTACATCTATAGATATAGACAGATAGATCTAGTTATATATTAGTGGTGTTTTTAGAGAGAGAGATCTAGCTATTAGTGACGTTTCATTTTAACAGCTGAAAAATGTGGATTTTGGGTTACTTTTTTAAAGGGTTGCTCTTTTAAATTAAAAAATTGGGGATTATTATTATTTTTTTTAAATCAGAGAACACCAGGAGCCCTGCTTATGAGCAAACGACAGGGTTTGGTGCCAAGTGGCTCTACTACCATCCGCATCACCACAGTACCACATCCAGGGGTGGATCTAGGGATCAGAAAAGGGGTGCAGGGGCTGAAGTGCATCATCGCACATGAAACAATGCATATTTTTCTCCAATTGAAAGAAAACTAGAAGCTTTACTAGTATGCCGGGGGAAGGAGGGCCTAGGGCCGTGTTATTCAGTTTAAGATGGAAGCAAAACCAAATATAACGTCAGTGGAAGGTGCAGCAATTTGCTATATCACATATCGTGTATAAAGTCACAACAAAATGCTTGAAGTGTGTTGTCTCGTTAGCCCTTGGAGCCTTCGAATTAAACTGATGTTTCAGAGTCAAGACAAAAGCTAGCCTACTAGAATCTTTTGATGGTGCATCTGATGCTTCACTGAAAGTTAGGGCCACACCTGAGTGAATGTGTTTGGCTAGAGTTGAAAACAATCTGCAGGGCTGTGAAATAGGAGCTAGATTACCAGGAGCAGCTAGCAGACAGAAGAATTGCAGAAGAAAGGCTAGCTTGATTAGTAGAACGTGCAGACCATTGAAAAGGAGGTGGAAAGAACATTAACACACGTGAAAAGAAGAGTTTAGAAGGAATCACGCAAAGGTCTGAAGTCAACTGATTCCCTCAGCTGAATAGAAATGCTGCTGTCACTGCCAGACAGCTGGTTTTAAACTTTGGGTTGAACAGGAACCACAGGCGAGGGGGAAGTGCAATCACTCCACTGTACCTGTCCTGACACCAGCTACCTTCTACACTTAGTTGTGGCCTAATCATATAGTCAGTCACTCTGAAAGCAAAATTCCCTTTTACTGAAGTGCCTGAGAGTTTTACTTGCACAACCAGAATCTCAGAGCATACATCATGCAGAATTTCATAATTAAAACTTGGTGGTGTTGAAGCAATGTAGCCACGAAGGCAAGAGACTTTCTGTGGGTGCTATCTTTTCCTGGGCCCACTGTGTTGCACAAACGGCTAGTTTCGTGCCCCTGGAGGCTTGTCCAATCCACCTCTAGGAGAGAGTCACATACACAGGCTGGGTCTAATTTCAGATTTATTGTTTGCAAACAAGTTCGACAAGGGAGCTTAATTTACTCAAATCCGTGTCGACCCCAAACAGAGTCTGGGGTTCCTTTTTATAGCTAACATAAACAAAAGATTCTAACATGTCGCGTAATTATTGGCAGCCCAAGTATTACGACTTGCAACATATGTCTAGCAGTTATATGTTCTATGATGGTTTACATACATGTCTCATTTACATCTTAAATCTCCTCCCTGGGGCCGTCCTTAAGTCCATTTCGGTCATTCTTCGGTCAAGGTCTGAGTTCTTCACATCAGCACCTTTCCCTGTGCCTCTTCTCTTATCTCTCGTAAGGAGTTATTTATTGCATCTGTTCCTGGCTATGTCTGCAGAAGTCTAGTGCTACTCGTAAATCTATCATTGGCCTACATGCCTTAGCAGAAGCAAGTGTGATAATATGCAGAAGCAATTATGTAGTGAAACTAAACATTTCTCAGCTGTGAAGCCTTTGTGTAGGGAGATGAGATATTTTTACCACACAGCTGCTACACAAACGTTATTGCAAAATCATAATGACTAGATTATAACATATTTTTACCACAATTGCACGGTTGGGATAGACTTAGACAAATAGGGATCCTATCTATACATGTGCAGGGAGCCTGCTCTGACTTGCTGGAAATCCCGCGTGTCAAAGCAGACTCGATTAATCAGAAATTAACATGCTCCAACAGACTAGTGTCATGTGTATCAGCGTCTTTGTGCTGAAAAATGGTAGTGGGGTACTTTGAACTAAAGCTCAACATCAAGCTTTAAGTTCAAAGTGCACCATCACCATTGGTGCATGAATGCTGATACATGTGACAATCAGGTGCTTTTAATTAGCATGGCTCGCTAATTATAAAGCCCTTCCCCCCCCTCCCCCGATGTCTCACAGAGCATGTGTAAAAATGCCTTTAATGTTAGCTAAAGTTTAGACAAGCTTTGAATGCATTGCAGTCTTCTTCAGATCTGAGGATTGTTGGTTTGGAAATAGCATTTAAAGGTCTGGTTTTTGGGAACTGGCTTATAGATATATGCATTATCAGGGTTCAAGATGGGCAGCAGAGGTTAATTGGATTTCTAAAGAGCTTGGGTTTCACACACAGAGTTCCATATAGCCCTGGAAGCAGACAGGCTGTCTAGCACTACAAGGCCAACAGATGAATGCAGCCTGGGAATTGAGGGGGGCATGCCATAACACGAGATCACAGCCTTCAAGGTAGATAGGTTGTCTAACACAACAAGGACACAAAGCCTGGGAACTGAGGAAGTACCATACTGTCCCATAACGCAAGATAAGTGACACCAGCTACAAGACCCCTGAGCAGCAGAGGGGCCTGAATCCTGGTTTTGGGGAAATAGACCAAATTAGGAGAAGGCCTGCAAGTGCGACCACAGAGAGACAGCCAACCAGAGATAGCCACAGATGAAGAGTCATCATCAGGAGTCATCAAGAGGGAAGGAGAATACAAAAGCAGAGGCTTGAGATTAACAGAGAGTTCCTCCCTGTTCCTTCTCGTCCCTCCCTGTTCCTCCTTCTCTTCCCCAAGAGGGGTCCCCATCCCCATCCCTACCCCCTGGGCAGGATCCCCAATCACACCATGGACTGAGAACATACCACCAGTCCATCTCATGCACCCCACTGGAGGGGGACTGTGGGCCTCGGCATCCCACCTCCAAACTGCTGACACCTAAGAGAAAAAGCCTCAGAGTGGAGCCTGCATCCTGACCAGATGTACTTTGACTCTGATGACAGCCCTAGGATTGGTAGATATAGAATTGTTTGATCGTTTGTATTGTTGCTTTTTTGTTAACAGTCTATATCAATAAATTTGCCTGTTATCAACTGGCAGGTGTTGTGGTCGGTCTAAGGGTTATGCTCGCTCAGAACAAAGGTATAGTCCATGGGCTGGGTCCAAATCCAGTGCCAACAAGGACCTTCCTTTTCCCTCAGACCTGAAGGAAAGTGTGTTGATTTGAAATCTGGGCTACATCTGTTGCAATCATGCAGTTAGACCAATTAATGATATCACCCACAAAAATCCTTGTCTTTCACATCCTTAAATCTTCTTTGATCATCTTACCAGGGAAGCTGATCACACTGCTTAGTGGCAAGATTCCCATTCTAAGAATCTCTGTTGTCAACTGTTGCTCCTTCATGGATTGGCCATATTTTAAGTAAAAGGGTGAAATTAAAAAAAAAAAAATAGCATGTTTAGGATGAATCAGGGTTGTATAATGAATTAAATTGGTTGTAGGACACTGTTTCTTATTTGTTACACAAGCTGAATGGGTCAAGGATTGCAGAAAAAAAAGGATGATTTAATTGCTAAGGTTCCTGGAGGAATTGGATTCTATTCCTGCCTCTATCCCAGAGGTCCTACGAGATATCAAACCAATCACTTGAAACCAAACTCTGGCAGATATTTACTAATTGGATGTTCTCTGGATGCTTACAGTGAGACAGACACCTGGGACAGATTTGTAGAAATGTTGAGTGCTTGCAAAGCATATTGCCTGCAGTTGTCCTATGATGTCCCAAAGGCTGCTGGCAGGCTTTCATTTAATGGCACAATGGGATCTGATCTCTGATCCCAACAACTGTGTGTCCTCCCATGTCACACATGCGTTTTTGGGATCAGACATAAACATTTTCAGAACCCAATTGTGTGGCTGTTAGGACAGGGAACCCAACATGATCCCTGATGCCCCACTTCTCATGCTGTGTGTGAATTCTTGGATCACAATCCCAGGTTTCAGTAAGTTTAAATCTGTGTAGGGCCAGCTCATATAGGGCAGGTTTAAAAACCTTACTTGTGCCATAAATGCAATGTTTGCCAAGGCGCAAAGATGTCAACTACTTTAAAAATCAGGTTCC